ATTATTAAAAAGGTTTTTCTTTGGTCTTGTGGAATTTGATGAATCAAATAAGAGGTGCGAATGAGTCCAAATGAACTCCACATTGTTGAATAACAATATTGGGCCTCAAGCTCATTCAATCTTCAAACCTGATCGGCAGACTCCCATCCAAAGTGGAGTCATACTCCCAAACACAATTACAACAATTGAAATTGCTTTTTATTTGAGTTGGCATGAAATCTATGAACTGATACATATTGGCCATTCCAAAATTGAACAATTTTCGGTCTCAACTATTCCAATGAACAAAAGACTGAGACAATAACCAAGGAGCAGGGTACAAAATTTAAGAACCTAACTTCTATCAAAGTAGAGAGTGAAAAAATTATACAGAGCAGCAGATTGATACACTTACCAAAAAAAGATAAGACTATTTGAAAAATAGAAATAGTGACATAAAAATATGAAGGTCTAGTGTCAAATGTGATTCTACGGGGTTCTTACCTTTATAAACTTAAAACTTTTGGGAATTCAAAAATCCATCTGGATGCAAGGCTGAAGTGTCATGGTAATTGTGTCGTGCGAAAAGAGAGGTGCAAGTACAAGATCAAATAAATGCATACATATTGCTGTCAGTGAGACAATACCAAATAGCATGACTTTATGGATTGTTCATCATATGAATGCCTTGGTTCTGTTCTAAAACTTTAACCAAAGGACAAATTTCATTCAATGCTCCTAATAGCGTCCTTTTCAATTGATAAATCTAAGTTAAATTACCATTTTTGTAGAAATCCTCAAAGTGATCTATTTTTGCTACCAATCTGATGCCATTTTTATTAAGGCCAAACTTGAAATTGAACACTACTAGTTTTGCAGAAAAAGAACAGAGCGAATACATGCACTCAATAAAACAACTATGTTCGAGCAAATTCATGATATTTATCCAAATATTTAAGCGAAATCACCAGACCAGGGAAATTAGGCCATTTGACCAACTAATACACATAAGTGTGCATAGCGCACAATAAGAAAACTATGGAATGTTTGTTGCACCAAACTAATGCAATTTTGCTACCACGTGATGTAGCAGACTCAACCAAAACTCACTTCAATTGTTCTCACATGTCAACAGTAGAACAAGGAATATTTTTGCAGTAAAAGAAACTCAAAAATACAGGAACTTGACTTCTAAAAATAAACAGGGACCAAAATTCTTTTCCTCAGTGGTTGGCTTCATGCTTGCCCTCAAATCTTGACCTAACAAAACTCTAGTACTTAACTCCATAAATAGTTTAATATAGGTCTATTTAAGTTCATGTTGACATACTATCACAAGCATTCAGCAAACCAAACCAGAAATCAACGACTTTATTTAAATAGAAGATGAATACAACGGTGTTGAAACATACCTATTAGCAAAAAAACAACTGAAAATATCGAACGAAACTCTGAAATGGGAGAAGAAATTCAGCGATAGTATCAACAGCTTAATAGATCAGCCAAACAAATCCAAACTGCAACAGAAAATTGGACAGAAAACCAATAGTGCCAAAACTCCAAACCCGAGCAATAAAAAAAACTCCAATTTAATCTTCAATCCAAAACCATGCTTATATTTTCGTCTTTGAAAAGATGCCGAATCCAAAAAAGCTCCAGAAGAAGAAAAGGCTTTAAACACTAGAAATTTCACTACTAAATTTTCTGAAGATTTTTCCGATTTTTCTCCTGATTTTTTTTCTTTTTCTTTTATTTTCCTCCCCCCCCCCCCCCCCCCAGGAAAAGAAGCCTTACCTCCTATATATAACCCTAAAAAAATTCTCGAATCTTCTGCTCAAAATATCCGAAATCTTCTGATTTTTCAACAATTTTTGGGACAAATGGAAGGCGTGGATCAATTTTCATCTGTCCACGGCTCCCATTCGTCCAACAATTGTCCTTTTGAATCCGAAATTGTGCTATTTGGGAGAGAAAATTCGTACTCCCTACTGACAAAACCGTTGGGAATCAAATGACGTGGAGGGGGGGGACCATTTTGAGTGAACTCGGGTGAATTAATGGTGAGTTGAGGGCGAGTTGAGAGTTGGGGAAGATGAACAGTAGAAAGGGGCGCAGCATATCTGACTTCTTAGGTTTAGGGTTCAAAATGAGGGAAAAATTATAAAGGGGGTTTTATATTCAGGGTAAACGGGTGGGTTGTTTTGGTGGGTCAGGTCCGATTTTCTTTGGGCTGGGGCTCTAGAGGGAAATGTTTGGGCTGAAGGGAATTAAATTGTGTAGGGGGAACAGTTGGCCGAATTTGTGTGCAAAACTGGCCCAAGTTTTATAAATGAGCTCCTTCTCCAATTCTTCCTTTAATTTCCTTTTCTTTTAATCTCTTTTGTTTTTTTAAAATTAGAAATCCTAAAATTAAAAACAAATCCTAAATTATCTAAAATGTAAAATTAAACTAACTAGATAATTATAAAAATTGTAAATATCACTTAATTCTAAATTAAAAGGAAAATCAATAAACTAAAATTAAAGACAAAAATGTAAAAAAGGAACTTTTTTTGTGATTTTCAACTTCTATAAAGCAAATAATTATTAATTAATTCTAAAAATGCAAAAACAAATCCTAAATGCAATGCATGATATTTTTGGTATTTTTCATAATTTAAATAAAACTTAAACGTGCACAAAAATGCAAATAATTAAATAAAAATTTACAAAATTCCTAAAATGGAAAATAATTAACAAAATCTATTTTCTTGGAACTTTATAGGAGTATTTCGTATAGGGCAAAAATTACGTGCTCACAACATATAGCAACCGATGTTGAATTTTAGGGAATGATTTTAAGTTGTTTATATTTATTCATACTAGAACTAGAAAGTACCACCTTTGTAAGTTACTATAAGAAGTAGGCAGTATTGTGAGATAAAGGATATGACAGTTCCTCTTAGGTTATGTGACTAAATGTTTACCCCGAACGTTTATAGTTTGATATGATTTTGAAGTGTATAGAAATTTTGGGGTTAGATATTTCAATTTTATTTAATACAGATGAAAGTTTGCTAAGTGCGATCCATGTACATAGTACAAAAGAAAGATTGTGTGCGACTCTGTAAATACAGGGAATTAGCAATTTCAGCAGAGCTAGTAGAGGTAAGATTTGATTCACTTAGCCAGATTAACACTAGTGAGTGGGTAACAATTTGAAACACCAAACTCATGTTAGAAACCAAAGAGTTTAAGTTAAACCCGAAGTACAGTGGTAGTGGGAAAAAAATCAGCTAACAGTGAGAAAGCAAGCTATAGAAGAGTAATCTTTAGGAATTATCAAAATGTGGTTCCTCCAAGATTGACAGTGTGAGCAGAGTTAAATTACTAACATTGTGTATGATAGGTGTGAATACATTAGCTTTCCGTTATGTGAATAATTTAGTTTTTTCTAGCTCAAAAGTAAGTTGGGATATGAGTCGTCATTGACGTAGAGTGCAAAGAATTGCAGAAAATAAGGTAGGTTATTTGGATCCCAATAAAAATAGAAGGATCCGCAAGTATAAGACCTTTGGTGTAAGGGGTGAAGTGAAAATTTTCAGTAAGTCCAGTTAGAGATTTGAAACCCGAATAGTTTGCATGGATATGAAAAAGAAAATTAGTTCGGTAATAAGAGAAATTATATAATTACCACAAGGAATATGTCCAGCATGTGTAAGAAATACAAAGTGAGTAGAATGACCACTGAGTTTAGTTGTTGATGATAAAGTGATCACAGAAGAGCTATAAAATCATGCCTATTTATATGTTATGAAGGTAGTGTCATTGCACGAGACTCTAAAATTTAGAGTACATGTCAAAGACTAGTTCACAACAATACTATAAGCGTTTTCAGGAAGTGCTTAAGAAGATAATCAAGTGTGGGAAGTATAACTCATGATTGAGGTAGATAAGAGAACTCTGGTGAAAGACGTTCACCGCTTAACCCAGCTATGAGTTCAATTTGTGTACTCCAAAGATAGTGGAGTTGTTGTCTAAAATATGAATTGTTCCCCCTTAGTAGTCGAAGAGAAGGAGAAACAGTGTGATGATCCGTATGTGTTGTAGTTGAAAGAGGAGATTCACAAGCATAAGATGATGGCTTTTGAATAAGGGGGATGATGGTCCTTTGAGGTACCAAGACAGATTGTGTGTTCCAGACATAGATGGACTTAAAGACGGAAGATCATAGTAGAAGCCCATAATTTCAGGTATTCTTTCCATCCAGGTTCCCCAAATATGCATCATGACCAAGGAGATTTATTGGTTGAACGACATGAAAAAAAATAAAACGTCGCAAACTTTGTGGCCAATTGTCCGAATTATCAGCAAGTGAAAGTCGAGTAGCAGAAAGCCTATTGTTTTATCACAGAATACACATATTTTGAGTGGAGATGGTAAATATGAAATTTATAACAGGATTATCTTGCTCAATTTGGAAGCATGATTTGATTAAGTGATTGTAAATCGACTTACCAAGTCAGCACACTTCTTGCCAGTAAAAAAACTACATATTCAGTAGAAGATTATACCAAGTTGTACATTTAGAAAATTGTCTGATTGTATGGGACTCCATTTTCCATCATTTCGGACTGTGATGCTCAGTTTAAAATGAACTTTTAGAAGTTCTTTCAGAAATGATAGGCACAAGTTTTTCGTCCTCAGAAAGATGGCCAGGCAGAGCGCATTGTTCAAACAGTTGAGGATATGTCCTTGATGTTAAAAGTAATTGGGATGATCACATACCTCTTATTGACCTTGCTAATAATAACCTACCATTCTAGTATCAAGATGGCACGTGTGAGACTCTGTATGGGCGAAGGTGTAGATCACCTATTGGTTGGTCCAAAGTTGGTGAAGGGGAGTTGTTGGTATTAAATCTAATTTTAATGATGAAAATAATATATTTACTATTTGTATAGGAATTCTTGGATTGACGAAATCAACAAGCAATGATCAAGGAACGTATGAATTGATATACAAGTAATGGCCAGGCAGAGCGCATTGTTCAAACAGTTGAGGATATGTCCTTGATGTTAAAAGTAATTGGGATGATCACATACCTATTATTGACCCTGCTAATAATAACCTACCATTCTAGTATCAAGATGGCACGTGCGAGACTCTGTATGGGCGAAGGTGTAGATCGCCTATTGGTTGGTCCAAAGTTAGTGAAGGGGAGTTGTTGGTATTAAATCTAATTTTAATGATGAAAATAATATATTTGCTATTTGTATAGGAACTCTTGGATTGGCGAAATCAACAAGCAATGATCAAGAAACGTATGGATTGATATACAAGATTGACGGAATATAGGCGCGGTTAAAGGAAGAAGAAATCAATCGTGAAGATATTGACGGGATAAAGAGACGCGATTAACGGAAGAAGAAATCAATCAGAAGATACTGATGGGATCAATTAAAGCTAAACTCAAGGAATCAAATAAATCAAGATCTCGCTGGATATTCAATCAAATATCTAAATATGGAGGATCAAGATTCCGGATTCAAAAGAGCCGTTGCAGAACAACTTTATTCTTGGAAAGAATCAATCTCTTTCCAAGGATCAAATCTCTTAGGTTGGCAAATTTTTCCAGAATTCAAGCCTCTCTCAAAGTATTTAAACCTGTAATCACACCTTAGCAAGATATACTTTGATCGAACCAAACACTCTCTCTTTGTTCTACTATAAACAAACATTATATCTCTCTAAGACCTGTTGTGTAACAAATTAGAGAAAAAAGAGAGAACAACACTGGTGAGACATTGTATCAAAAGAGACGAGTGATATAGGAACTGAGCTATCACGTTATTTCCATTGTACTCGAAGAAACTCATTCACTAAAGAGAACTCCCTTGCAACCCAAGGGGACTGGACTAGAATTCACATTAAATCTGAACTAGTATAAAAATTCTGATATCTTCAATTCCTGCATTTAATTTCAGCATCTTACATTCTGTTATTAAAATTGTTAGTTTATTACATCTAGTCGACTAATTGAAAAAACCAGTCAACTAACAGAGATTAAGTTTAAAAATAAACAATTCACCCCCCTTCTTGTACTTTTAATTAGTATGAGAGCGAGGCTCACATTTTTCTTTTACTTAACAGCTCGTGAGAAAAGATCATGGCGAATCAAGTTATCATAGAAGCTCTATGATCGCAGCGGACTCAACCTAATAAAGAGTGGGCGCTAATACTTTTACCCAATAGCGGTATCGGGGTCAATTTTCCACAGGGAGCTTCAATTTGGAGTTGAGTGTTTGTATGGTCTAGGACTATGTTTTAGCTCCTAATTGATCTTCTAACATTTTTGGTTTTCTTTTGATTATCAGCTACAATTTATCAACTACAACTTTAAAGCTAAGTTAGACTAAGATATAGATTCTAAGTTGTATGCAATATAGAGAAAGGCACTAGGGTCGTGGCATGTACCTAGGTGGTCAACTAACGGGTAGAGATTCCTAATGCAAGATTGATAAATATGGGACTTATGCTATAACCATTGCACTTTTGTACCCACTCTCACACCTCTCGGTAGAGAGAGTGATTTTTCCCAATTGCCTCTCTTGAGACCAAATGGGTAGGCCATTTTGCCCAAGCAACTTATGGTTCAAGTTGGGTAATTACTCTCTCGAGGTTTAACCCGTTAATTGGGACTACCATTCTCATGGGTCCATCCCAATTCCTTGTTGGAATTAATCTTGGGGTCATAGACTCTCTTTCTCAAGAAGAGTCAAGACTCACTAAGCTAGACTTAGTGTTTGCAACCACCAAATCTTAATGAAAACATAAGATTAATCCAAATAACAAATACCCAACATCATTCATGCACTAAACAATCACACCCATTAATTACCCACACTAGGGTTGAGCCACAACCCTAGCTAATGGGTTTAGCTAGCCATAATAGAAACAGAAATTGAAGAAATAGTAGATGAAATTGACATAATAATTAACTACAATATTAATCTACTCAAATCCACGTTAATACTAGAAGAAATTGCCCAAAATAGGCTAAAACCATAAAGTCTCGAGTTCAGCTGCTATCTCCTAAAAACCAAAAACTGAAAAAAAAACTAGTTCTAAAAAGTAAAATGTTCTATTTATACTACACAGGA